AACAATATCTTTTACCCATAACCTTCTATAATGCCACGAACAATAATATCTTTTACCTATAACTTTCTATAATGCAATGAACAATAATATATTTTACCCATAACTTTCTATAATGCCACGAACAATAATATCTTTTACCTATAACTTTCTATAATCCCATGAACAATAATATATTTTACCCATAACTTTCTATAATGCCACAAACAATAATATATTTTACCCATAACTTTCTATAATGCCACGAACAATAATATATTTTATCCATAACTTTCTATAATGCCACGAACAATAAGTGCTAACTGGCGTTCGATTATGTACACCAATTTTACGGTTATTTTTGTGTGTGTGTGTATATGTTTTTAACTCTTGTAACAGATAACCAACGTTCCTGAAAAACGACTAATTGATTTAAAAAGTTTTCATTGACCGAACAGAAACTAGATTTTCTTTGTAATTGATTTTTTGTTGTTGTTGTTGTTGTTACTTTTTCGTTTGTATCAGAATCAAAACTAATCTTCAAGCCAAGAGAACTTTTAGCGTGGATACAATAATGGAAACTGGGGATGACAGCGACACCTTCCGAACCGCTAGGGAACGAGACAGAGAAGAAAAACGTAACGTTTGAGTTTTATCTTCTAAAGTTAGAATTTATTTTACAGAGATATTCCCGACCTCCATATATTCTAATTTTTCAGATATTTTTATTTCTTTCTCTAAAATCTTCACTTGAAATTTTAAGAAGAATAAAAGTTTACCTCGCGTAATCAAACACTTTCTCAAAAATGTTCTCTCTATGATAGCCCCCATCCCCTGTAACGTCAAGAACGTACTGCATAAAGTCATTGGTCAAGAAACACCGTAATGATCTTCGTAAAATGGGTACGGAAGACGTAACTAGCTATTAATTCATGGATAAATGTAAACTTTGAGTCATTATAAACAAACATGCAACGAAAGTTTAAGTAATGTATCTGTGCAGTCAGGTTGTGAATCTAGTGAAACTAAGGAATGTAGGTACTTATTATCATTTATTAAGTTTGTTAAAAGGACGTCTGAAGGTTTGTTCGGAATTTTTGACGTATTATTTCAGGCTTTTATTTGACTGTTTAAATTATGCCCCATAATTGTTTGCCTTCACTGTAGATCTCTACTTCTTAACTAGTAAATTAGTATACAATAAATATATATTCTTATAGGGGGATAATAATTCTCTAGTTTATAGCTGCACTGAAGATAGACTGTTATCTTCGGTGATATTCAGAACTTCCGAATATTACAATCATACATTTGATACATGCCAATTTGGAATCAAAGGTAGCAAGTCTGAATGCTACAAAGTTTGAACTCTGAGATATCAAATAATAATAAAAACACTGGTACGGGTAACTCTTTATTGTCAAAACTAGCTCTGCAATTAATCTATTCCTCCTGCACTCTCTTGCCGTGGTTGTACTCGTACCAGTGGAAACAAAGATACCTTCCCAGGTGAAGAGGTTCAACCCTGGGTTGCTTTCACGGGCTTTGCTTGCAACACGTGATGAATAACGATTGGGCTGATAGGGCTAACCTGAAACATTTGCACCATCTTGTTGGTATAGGTTATGGTAAATTCTGGTGCCTTAGTAACCAGTGTTTCCTACATTACCACTAGTGTGAGAAGTGTTGTCTATGGGTCAACCATTATCTACTCATCCATCTATTTTCAACTGGTAAGCTCCAGTACAGCTTCCAGTATAGTGATAGGGTATATGGCCACTTGAATAAACTCACTTGCAATGTCTGAAGTTGAAACTAGATACTTGCAGTAAGGGACTACTTTCAATTACTTAATTTTCTTTTATTTATTTATTTAAAAACGAAAATAGCAAACTACGGTGACTGTCTATTAACAGAGTATTCATAGATAAAAATCTTGTGTTCTAAATTCTCCAACAACACAATATTTGCACATAACATAACCGAGCATAGGTATTTACACATATGTCATGTGTTTTGAAATATAGCTAAAGATTTAAATAATTCTTACAAATGAAAGACTGTATATACATACACAAAAATGACACTTTTTGTTTGCAAAATGGACCATATAACGCCAAATATTCAGACACCCGATTATATTTGTGAAATTATTAAAACAGATCATCCTTTGCTATTAATATATGTTGTTAATATTGTGTATTTTATTGCTAGCCATACTTCGTGTAGTGTATGGTGAGTTTCCTGCACCATAGATCCTCAGGATGAACTTTTTCCTCCTTATCTTGATTCACCTTCTAAGTTGGAAGAAACATCACATCAGGGGCACATCATATCATTATGAGTGACGTCATTTTTTCAACACTTTTCTTTCTCGTTGGTCATATATTCATCCAGTTCTGTAGTGACGTTTCAGGCCAAATCTCCTCAAACTAACTTGTTTGGTCAATATTAAACGTAACTCTATAAATAGGGTTGAATATCATACTTTGCTGACCAATTATTTGGAAGACCTAGTAAAGGGGAGTCAACTTTAGGTGAGCTACAGTCGCTATGTTTAATATAAATACAATGACTTTAAGGTGAGTGGCTGCCTACCTGCTGATTAGTGCTAACCCCCCCCCCCCAATACTAACTCCACTAAAATGTCTTTCTTCTTCAAATGTCAGGCAGTAACTGTCTCTAGCTAGTGATATTCAGTGTTGTTGACTTTCACTAATCTTCAGGACGGTCCGGCATGACTAAGTGGTTAGGGCGCTCAACTCGCGGGTTCGAATCCCCGTGCCACCAAACATGCTCGCCCTTTCAGCCGAGTGGGCGTTATAATGTGACGGTCAATCCCACTATTCGTTGGTAAAAGAGTAGCCTAAGATTTGGCGGTGGGTGGTGATGACTAGTTGCCTTCCCTCTATTCTTACACTGCTAAATTAGAGACAAAATTCAAAACAAACCAAACCACTCACCCTACCTAATCTTTTGAACAAGTGTCCTAGTTTTGTCGAATAGCATGCGACAACCTGAGCCTGGTAGTCCAACAAGTGTAACGATTTTCATTGTTTCATGTGTCATTATGATGTCTTCCAAGTATTCACCATCATTTAACGAACTTTGACCATTTGTATTACCATTTTAGCCATCTCAATCGATCATGAATACTATAATAACACAGGCCTGCGAATTTAAACTTAATAAAAGTTGTTTTGGTTTTAATAACGGATTTTTCATAATTCAGCTACATAGATTTCGAAAATAATACTCTTTTTTTTTCTATCACGTAAGGAGTTTTTTACAAATCGGAAAGAAAAAAACTCTTACTTAGTTCAAATTATTATTTCGGTTACCACAATGAACATGTTTTATTATTATGTTTGTTAACAAGAATACAAACAACATTGATGTCAAACGAATATGCATCCTCATTCATCTTGATTTTTTTAGGTGAAATCTACGTCTTTTAGTCTCAAAACTACGTGTTGTAATCTTTCTTATATGTATTGCGTTATTACGTTTTGTGAAAAATCTGTACGTGATGGAGAAAAATGGATATCATTTTCGGATTCAGCGTACAGGAATTACTGTAGAACATGGAAAGATTTCAAGACAATAAAACCTTCGCAGGCCTGTGTAATTAGTGGCATAAGTATGCCCGCGCAACCTCCGCAATTGCGGGGGGTGGGGGAAGAAGGACCTGACAGTATTATAATAATTACCGACAAAGGGGATATATATATGGGGCCCAAATACTTTTTATGCCGGGGGGACATCTTTTGTAGTTACGTTGACAATAATGTTATAGTCTTCACTATCCAGTATGAGACATAATTTTGCAGACACAAGCTTGTCAAAGCTTGGCCCATTTAGATCTTGTGGAATGCTGAGCTAAGTGCTTAAGATTTAGTTAATACATAGGCCAGTGCCTGGAAGAGCACACACTAACTATTTTCTTGATAAAGCTTAAAGTAACAAACATATGTTGATCACCCTTCACTGCTTTAGTTAATGTTTTTGTCGAGATCTATTTCAGGGGCGATCCCGCTTCCCTTGCTGAAATTTATTATTAAATGGATAATGATTCTTCCTGGCAATAAAAATTGTGCAATTCCTCGTTCTTCTCTGTGTACTGTGCCATGCTGTTGGATTACTACACCTCACTACCATATAGACTCTTAAGGGTCCTATCTTCCAAGTATTTCAAATTGTTTGCTAGATTTCTGCATGAGCTCAAGGATTATCAGCTACACCAGTGGCTCATTTCAACACCTTTATGGCGAATGTTACCAATAGAACATTCATCTCAACACCTCTAGTTCTCAGTATTAGGCCCAAAGACCACCATAACCACTACTGTGTTACTTAGACACACTGAAAGGTTGATTGATACATGTTTGTAATTCCGCTTAATGGAAAAGACAGTTAATTGGGCATATGACAGTTTCTTCTAACATTAGCAACAGTCTCGGGTATAAAAATCATTGCTACCACTTGGCATCTGTTAAGCATTACACGTGCAGTTTTTGAAGATTTGGAGGTGGGGGAACATTTATAAGCATCGAAGAAAGTCCTTCAGCATTTTCATACCAGACCAATTTTCAGTGATACATGTGTGCGATGTATTCATTTATTTCCAATGCAATAATACCAAATAAATGAATACATCGCACACAGTCACTTCCTTTATGTAATAATGTATAACAGGAACTGTTAAAGGAACAGAAGCACCGCATATATCAGTGGCCCTATACAAGTATAGATATTGCACACAAAAATTGAACTATAGGGTAACTACAAATGTGAGAAAATTTCGCCTATTTCACTAAATGTGATGCCAAGGCAACAGACGGAAATACAAAGTAGGCATATTTCCCAACATTTTAGTGTCAAAAAGGTAAACGGTGTGTGTGTGTGGAACATCCAAAATTTTAGGGGCTCAATTGACGGACTACAATGCTTAAGGGTAGCAACCAATTACTTGGGATCAATACTAACCAGTTTAACTGGTCATTTGGTCAAACCTCTTCCTTATCGATTTCCTTAATTCAGATTCCGGCCTCAGTCATCTATAATCCAACCTTGACATACACTGATTAACTCCTGGAAATACACACTACATACAGTGAGCACATAGACATGGATGGCGACTCTACCTCGAAGGACACCAGACAATAGTTTCTATTTTTGTCTTCTAGATGAAGGAAGGGACTAAACAGTTGGTAATTATCTGCCATTTCATCTGGTAATGTGCTATATAAGTTAATGAAGATTATCTTGGATGCAGTAAGTCAAACTGTGGTTGTTGTTCAATAAATTACCATGTGGTATTTCTATCCTTTGTTGGATCATCAGCAATAAACTGCAGTAAGTCAAACTGTGGTTGTTGTTCGAGACATGTGATATTTATATCTCTTGTTGGATCATCAGTAACAAACTACGGTTAGTCGAACTGTGGTTGTTGTTCGAGACATGTGGTATTTCTATCCTTTGTTGGATCATCAGCAATAAACTGCAGTAAGTCAAACTGTGGTTGTTGTTCGAGACATGTGATATTTATATCTCTTGTTGGATCATCAGTAACAAACTGCGGTTAGTCAAACTGTGGCTGTTGTTCGAAACATGTGGTATTTCTATCCTTTGTTGGATCATTAGCAATAAACTGCAGTTAGTCAAACTGTGGTTGTTGTTCGAGACATGTGGTATTTATATCTCTTGTTGGATCACCATAAATAGGCTACAGTAAGCCAAATCCTGGTTTCTGTACATGAAAGTGCTATGTGGTACGTCTATCCCTTGTTCGATCACCAAAAATAGGCTACAGTAAGCCAAATCCTGATTATTGATCAAGAAAATACTATGTGGTACGCCTATCCCTTGTTGAATCACCAAAGTAAGCCAAATCCTGGTTGCTGTGCATGAAAGTGTCATTCTGTACCTTTATTTCTTATTCAATCACCAACAATAAGCAGCAGTAAGTTACAGCTTAAAAATCTGGAAAGGCAAATAAACCTCCTAAACTTGGACTTGGAGACAATAAACCTAATAGTATTCTATAACAAAACAGTGCATTTTTACAGGTAAATATGTAAAATCTTTTAAAAAGGGCACTAAACATTAGCGCAATGTAGCCGTGTAAATGTGGAATGGGTTAGCTTAGCGTTTTTTTAAACTTAGATTGTGAGACTATAGTAGATGAGAGAGAAAATTAATTTAGTTACTAAATTAGTCAAAAGGGAATTTTAGATCTGGTTGTTTTGAAAATCTATAACTACCGGGAAGTAATTCATTACACAATAAATGTAACTCATTTGAAAACAGTTGATTATATAACATAAGAAGGTTTTGACAAAAGGAACGCTACCACTGACGACTGCATCATAGATGAAGTTGATATTTCCGAACTGTACTGTCGCACTGTAGCCCAATTTGTTATGCCTGTTTTAAGCCAGAAAGAAAAAAATCGGCTGATTGATTGCTGTAAAGTTGGAACATCAGATACCAAACCTAAAAACAAAATTATCAAATGTTACACCTAATCCTTTTATCACCAAACCAATCCTTGCATCCCTTAGGTTCATAATGTAGTTCGGCTAATTAGCATATGAACATTCTCTGGACATCAAATCAATGAGTGAACAATAGATATTGGGTATTACTGCGGCTACTTTGTGAAAGTATTTGCATTGGGACTGTTTTAGATAGAGATAGACTACACAAAACAAAGTAGATGTGTTTATTTTGAATTTACAAGAGTGAAATTGAATTAGATTGATGGAGTTTGCCTTGGGATACCATAAAGTTTTGTTTGTTTTGAGTTTTGCGCAAAGCTACACGAGGGCTATCTGCGCTAGCCGTCCCTAATTTAGCAGTGTAAGGCAGCTAGTCATCACCACCCACCGCCAACTCTTGGGCTACTCTTTTACCAACGAATAGTGAGATTGACCGTCACTTTATAACGTCCCCACGGCTGAAAGAGCGAGCGTGTTTGGTGGGACGGGGATTCAAACTCGCGACCCTCAGATTGCGAGTGGAGCGCCCCCACCTGGCCATGGATACCATAAAGAAATACGATGTTTATAATAACAAGCGTAGTTAATATTAGCAGTGTTCTTGCTGTGTTACTAAACATAATATATTTAACAATACGATACTATGTAAAATTTATTTGAATAGACATTTATAATTCAGATTGAGAGCAATATATGAATTATTAAAATTACCGCGTCCGTTGTTTAGTCAGGATGCCCTATTTTACCAGTACGAGTTTCATAATGCATAGGAATAAGCTGATTGTTAATTAATATAGATTTTATTGTCGATTCACAGTAGTTTAGCATCGTTAAAATCATTTTCAGACACGAATCTAGTTTCATTAGTGAAATAAAAAATATTTTTCTTAACCTTAATAGTCATACTGTATGACTGTATCACAAACGCTCTTAGTTATTCGTAGCCAAAACAACTGTTAATTGTCATACTGCATGACTGTATCACAAAGTTATCCGTAACCCAAATTGATGTTAGTAGTCGTAACCAAAATTACTACTAGTAGTCGTACTGCATGACTGTATCGCAGTTATCCAATTGCTAGCAAGGATAATGAATGACTGTATCGCAGAGACTCTTAGTTATCCTCAAAACAAAATTGTTCTTAAAATTCATACTGCATGAAATCCCGAAAGTTTGTCGTTCTTTTTGGCTTCCCTTATTAAAACGGTGATCGGTCGTTAGAATTTGGTCATTTAAACTGATAGAAAAAAAAAAAAGGATTTTTAAGTTGAGCGAAAGATTGTTTATATTTTCTTGTTAATGACTTGGAAGTGCTTTGCTTTGTGACCTTTAAACAGTCATTCAGACTACAAGTTCGTGTTGGAAAGAACAACCAGCAAACTGGAATATCGTAGTTTTACACGTCATTAACAGGAAATTGGATCCGTGGTGGAAAGAAATTATGACTACTTTTTGTTTTAGAGAAGTAATATTAATTCTCGAAAACATATAAAAGAAAGAAAGTAATCATGGCTAAATTTTGGAGATTTATCAAGTCCACCCAAAAATAAATCTTATAAACATATTTTAAAAAATAAGAAAGTAATATGACCGGAGGGCCAGGCGTGACCTAGTAGTTACCTCGGACTTTGAATCCAAAGGCTCAGAGTTCGTGGCCTACACACTTTGGGCAAATAACCTAGGTTAATGAAGTTTCAGCACATTAATTTCATGTAGGGTTTTCAGGTAGGAATAATACTACCTTCTGGTATCACCATCTCGTGAAATAATGCATTGCTTGTGTGTTTGAATGTCTCCCACGTCCTATTTCGAAAGAATAGTCAATTGCAATAATTTTGCTTGTGATAAATCTAAATCTGCCATTGTCTTGGGTAAAGAGCAGAACCGTCATATTATTCGCATCATTAGGTTAAGCAAAGTAAAAGCGATAAAAACCAAATTATGATACCTCCAATGGCTTCCCAATCGTTACGAGGGAAAGCTTCAAATTTTCAAATAAGAAGAATGACGTCAAGTAACAAATCCCGAGTCAGCTAGTACAAGGTAAAGTGGTAAAATTAATTTTCATGAAATGTGTTTCAGTTTTAATACAGTAACAATATTCAACCGGTAAACATTTCATCACGCTAAGTATTCTAGTTCACACATCAAAATTCATATGTGCTTTCATCTGTTTTAATAGATCGAAAACGTTTACATTTCCAACTGTTTATACTTCTCTTTCTTTTATCTTTTTTTAGGACGTGATATCATGGAAATTCGAGGAATGATAGAAGAATTACGAGACTTCCAGAATGTGGTAATTACACACGAAACAATATGTTAATCGTATAACTGTGTCTAGACACGAGAGGTCAAAAGAGCATGATTAACCGTACCAAAGCTGAAAAATAATATTAATCCGCCTTAAAATAGTGCGTAATTACTGGGATCAGACGAGTAGCTTGCGTTAGTCGCATTTTGAGTATTAGTATTAATATTTAATAACCAATGGTCCTATATGCCTAATATTTTTATAGATATAATTTGGATTAAATAAGAAGTAAACTTACGCAAACAAAAATAGCTTAGTATATAAAAAAAAGCAGGTTTTGTGGTTATCAAATAGGATCCAATGTACACTTACTGGTAAGATGTCGTGAATGGTCTAAGACTATAAGTCATAGCTTTGTTCTTTAATTTTTATTTGAGTTTCATAAAGGCCAATACAGTAACTCTCCCATTTACGTCGTCGATCCGATATAAAGTCGTTGAGAAATTAGGGATCAATATCTGAAATTACTCACAGTGTGTTAAATTTTGTACATTGTCCGCAGTTTTAAATTAACATACCCTTTTCGTGCCATGTCCAATTCAGGGGGTAATATTTTTGGCGACGCGTGCCGAAAACGAAAATTTCAAACCGCACGCCTAGGCCTATGCTGCGCCATGACAACAAGTAGGTGCACCGCGCAGGTATTTTTTCCACTTGTGGGAGTCGGTTCAAAGCCAGCTTGCCATCACTTCCATCAGCCACAGTATCGACTGATATTCCCTGTGATTATTTTTGCGCCAAACATTTCCAAAACCCTAAAACATGGATATTCTATATTGACTGATTGATTTTATATGTTTTTATGTTGGGTTAGAGTAAGTTTGGGTGTCCTAAAATTAGTCACCTCCTTTTATAAAACTAAGTTAATGGCGAAATAGCAGCCGATTTACGTTGTTCCACCTAATGCTGTATTTTCTAGGAACTCATCCCCGACGTAAATGGAAGAGTTGCTGTATACGGTTTTAGTAGTGTAACATGAAACTATTAATCAGAGCTGATTTATTGAAGTATTTACTATAGGTTTATATATCCCATTCTAACTGTTTCTGTGATTGTAAATTAACAAATCATTATTTTAGAGTTGGTGTGTGTGAGGCCAATTTGTAAATTTACAAAACGAAACTCAGACGGACTATATCAAGAACACTGCAGGACGTTAAAATGTCATAACTGGAAACTAAGGTTAAAAACACAATACCTGAAAGAAGTTTCATAGTTACCCTTGAATAACCTTTTTTTTGCGAAATATCTAAAAAAATAATCGATATAAAGAAAGTATTTCTCCAACATAGTCTTCCTTGTTATTAATTAATTGTGAAGCAGCAACACTTAATAGCTTGTTAATTCTTCTATACACAACAAATATTTACCTTCTTTTTTATATATATTTAGATGCCTCAACAAAAGATAACTGAGTTAACGAAAAAGGTGAGTTCGCGTTTAAAGTCTTCCCAAAATATGCTTATGGAATTTGATTTTTTATCTCCTTTTATTACCATGTTTAAACAACAATAACTTACTGGATCCAATAATGAATAATGGTGTGATACTAGTTGTCTAGATAGACACTTGTTGTAGTTTTTAATGTGTAAGACGAACTAATTGGTTATCATTTCTAACAGTATATACTTTTTTACAGTGTGAAAATCTTCACTCCCAGATTATTCAAAGAGACGCGGAGTTGAAAGACACAAAACGCCGAATTCTAGAGTTAGAATGCACCTTATCTTTAGTTAAAAGTCGCCAAAGCACGCGTTCGTTATTAAGACTAAGTCCGTTTAGAAGGAAAAGTGGGTCGAAAACTCAGAGTTTGAGTTTAGGGAGAGTGCTTGAACCGAGAAACCGAGTTATTCTTCATGAATCAATTGATAGAGTGGAGCTGGAGGCTGACAGGTGTAGGCCGAGCTGTGATTATGATGACTTAGGATCATCAATAGTTGAGAGTGAACCAGCTTCCATGGAGAACGAAATATTAAAGGTAGAAACTTATGATCAACCTGAACAGAAGTCTGTACAAGTACCAGGGATAACTGTAGACGAAGTAACACCTTTAGAGCCAGCAGATAAGGAAGGTTTAAATCCTTTGGATGGTGGTCAATCAAATACTGGCCTTCTCGAGAATCCAGATGTTAAACGTTACTGGAAATTAACTTCAGAAAATAGCTTGACACTCTCTGAAGTTTCGTCCCTTGTGAGTAGTTTTCACACCGAGGATGGCGACCAAAGCACTGACAGTAGTGCCGCTGATGATGTAGGCACATTCAGTGATTCAGAAATTTGGAAATGTTCATGAAAAACTAAGAAAGAATTAAAAATATGTTCTTTTGTAAGGGTTCATAGGAAATACATCACTCGGGAGTATCTGGATTATCAAGTATTATAAAATTTGCTCTTTTTACGTTGACATCGCTCTTGGGTATATTAATTCTAGTGCTTGAAGTGGGGGAAAGGAAGCGGAATGGTTTGCGAATTTTTTGAAGCTGAGTACTATATTTCTTGTTTTTCATGTGTATGCTTTTTTATTATCATAAAAGTAACTAAAAAATTAGAAACTTATTAGGTTAGATTAGGTAAGATAATGAAAAAATAATAATAATTCTTCATGAGATATACTCGTTAGCAGCTCGTGCGTTACGTAATTCAATAGAGTAACGTGAGTTACACGTTTATATGGTGATTTACAACTTGTGTGGCGGGATTATTAGTTAGACACGGTTCAGAGGCCAATAAAACAATAAGATTAAGGATAAACAGATGTATACTATAACGAGTTGATACAAATCGATCACATGGACCGATCCCTAGCAAGAGGGTTCATTAACTCCATCAGTGAACTAATTTGTCTCATTCCTACCCATTCTCTTGCCGCAGTAAATAATTGTTGAATTGTTTATTGAACCCTTCCAGTCTGAGAAATGTATAAGCCATTAAAAGGTAATGGGATGTTTTCGGGCCCTCCTGAAAAGAGGTGGGATAGCATTCTGCCTCATCCCACTCTACTTCAAGCACTGATTATTTCCCTATCATAATTAGAAAACTAGCATTAATACTTCTAGAATTAAGTGCAATCCAAACAACTATCAGGAGAAAAATGCCCTAATAGACTAAATCATAACTGAAGCCACAACCGGTTGCACATTTACTGCATTCAAAGAAATTATTCATGATTTTTTCAACTTCTCATTTAAAACACTAGTAAAAGAGTATAAGATTCGTAATTCCTGTCTTCTGGTGGCTCAGCAGTAAGCTTGATGGCTCATGATGCAAAACTTCGGAACTGAATAACCCGCTTATATAGCCCCCTGTGTAATTTTGCGCTAACAACAATAAACATATCACCTCTAAGGGGCATATTCCAAGACTATGGTCAAAGATAAAATTGTTTTGCTCAGCATTGATAATATTAAATCTTAAAGACGAATAACTATTTGAAAATATAAAATTCACATGGCTATTTATATAGTTCAATGTATCAATGATATTAAATGTTCAGTTCTTCCTACTTTTATTTCTCGAGTGAAAACTTCGTAAGTTCTTTCCTGTATCTGAATGTTTAATTTATAAGGCCTGATAATTTATTTCGAATGTATAAAATTCTGTGAAATTAATGAAGACTGACAGGATTATTTTATGTCGAATCTATACAAGAAGCTAGAAATGGAACTGAATCTTGATTTTTATACTGACACTAATGCGCAAAAAAATAAGCTGTTGGTACTTCATATAAAATATTCAATGTGTAATATTTATGAAATGTAAATTTGATACATGGTTTTTAAAACGATTTAGTTAGAGACGTCGTACTTTTTTTACATAATGTGTCCATACAAAATTAGATTATATATAACACATTTATATGGAATTACGCTTTTTTTATTTGAGCCTTTCAGTTAGTAAAAGTAACGTGAGACTTCAAGACAATATTGTTGAAAATTCACTAAAATATGTTAAGTGTATTTCATTATTTAAGTTGTAAGCTACAAAAAATTTTATAAACATATTACATCAAAATGAGGAATAGCGTGAATTTTGCACAACATATCCAAACTTTAGATGAAAAATATTTAAATTTAATTTTATAGAGAAGGAAAAGAAAAACATAAATAAACGAAAAATATACTTGAAAAAAATAATAAAAACGCAGCCACAAAACAAACACCCAACACTTGGGCACAGAGCATATGGTGGGTCATTATGTAATGTTCCCTGGTTTTTTTATGAGATAACGGCGGAAGTAAGATCTAAATTACGTGAGGGGTACACGTCTAACCATTTTTTTTCTTCTTCTTCTTATAAAGGTACACATGTTACATATAACACACACACTTATAAAATTTTTCATGTTTGTTAGATAAAAGACTAAACATCCAGCAGGGATTAAAATAGTAAATTTATCTGTATAAAATCCTGACGTGTTAAAAACAAAACATTAAAATTATCTAGATATTTTTGTTTCATATTTAGTGTTCTATTAAAAACCTGGTGTGTTTATCTGTGCAAAATAAAATGCTTTTGACTTAAATCAAAAGACTCATTTTTAAATATCTTCTACGAATCACCTTATGAAATGTTTTTTGTTGTTTTTTAATGCTTGAATCAAACTTTTTCTTCCTCATACTTTTATTGAGCTCTTATTAGAAAGTCGGTTATATTTCATTGGTATTTAAACAGCCTTACGTATGTATTTCTCTTCACCAATTAAGTTAGTTGACGATGCCTAATTTTATCATTATTAATAGGAATTGAAAAACACATGTAAAATGAGATTCATTTTATTGTCTTAATACAAGTCATTCAGAAAATTCTGAAGCTTACAGTAATTGTATATTACACCAATAGATGGCAGCGCAAAGTTACTATTGTCTGACTGACATGTGTTTTTATAATAAATTTGTCAAAGCAAGTGTAAGTGATACAAATTTTTAATTGTCTGAATATATATAGTGAGGCTGGTAGTGTAAAAAAATCCGAGTTCCTTCTATTAAGTGTTAAAAAAGAGAACAACATTAATTGTAAAAGTATTCCAGGAGTTATCAAACTCATACTAACACCACCGAAGTACATATCAATCCACAACTAATTCACAACAACCAGTTGTTATGATAGTGCTAATAATTTCGAGACTTCATACGCAGTTAATCTAATAATTAAGACTTTATATATCAACTTTTTACGTACATTTCAAAAACACGGAGAAACAGACCAATATTTTTCAGACTTATAAAAACAGAATTTCAGTCATCAGATAAATATTTTACAAAATTTACTGCTTGTATACCAGAAAATACTGAGCAAATTATACTAGGAAATAATAACTCAATATTGGCAGTTAACATTAAGGTTGAGAAGAAAGAGTAAAATCGACAAATGTGCTGAAATTAACAAATAATTTATTTTCTGCCATTGTACTTATTTTTAGTTTAAAGTTCATTCAGCGACAATTTTATATATTCTATGTTTGTCTGTCATTCCATATTAATAAGTAGACAAAACAAGTTCCTGTATCTTACCACGCCTGTAAGCTTACTCAGACGTATAATTCTGGATACTTTTTAACCTGTGTAGTGACTTTTGTCTACTATAGAAGGTTAAGTAGGTTATATTAAAACGATTTGGAATATGCAAGACACGTGACAGTCACACCCCTAAAGTCACCGTGGAAAGGCATGCATCAGAAGAACATTTTTAAATTGTTTGGTGTTCTGTATGTATTCTGGTCAGGGATGTAGTGCTAGAAGAGTGCCACTCAGTAATCTAAAATTGGAGCAAAGTCCCAACACTTTCAAAAGTAAAAACATGCATATAAAAAATAAGGTATTCACGCTATTCCATGTGAAAACATACCGTCAAGTCGCCGAACACAGCGACTATGAATTTATTTGCTATCGGGCGGTGAGACACCGTTGTCTTTGTACACTATATAGACTATGGTAAGCATGCAGAGAGAATGGTGTGCTTTGGACACGAAAGTCTAACAATGAAAGTTACAACAGAAACTACGCATCAGGGTATTGTCAAGATGACGCACAGTCATCGATAGAGTATGATCAGACGCGGAGAGGCTCCAAAATATTTCAGAATGACGTTCTCAACCTCTTTATTCACATTGGTACTTAAAATAATATTTACTCTCTGGAACATAAAAGAAATTTAAAGATACTGGCTAAGAGAAATAGAAATTATATCAGAGATATTTTTAGTTAAATTAAATATCGTTATAGCTTTCCAGTTTATTACATATCTATATTACTAAAAGAACAACTGAATTAGTAATAATATTTACGGCATATCTTCAGGCGGCAAGAGTGTATATACCATATTAAATGATACATTGTAGATGACTGATATAGCAGTATTTCGACCAAAACTTCAAATTAAATTAGTAGCAGGAATTTAGGTTTAAAAAGTTCAAACCTCAGAAATGATTTTGTGGCCTGAAAGACAATCCAAGATGGTCATAAACTTTTGCTTCTCTTCATCCATTAAGATTGTGATGAGCTCTGGTATCATTCGAAAGGTCTCTTCGGCAGTGGCATGCCCTCGAGATGCAATTATGTTTCTTGTTATTGAAAACCTGTTTTGTGAGCCCAGAAAAGAATTTTTTAATGGCTATATATATATATATATATATATCATCAGTCTTATTGTGATTGCAAACTACTGATCAGTGGATCACGCTTCGCCACCATAAGGTGTTTTATACTATAATAATACACGCAAGCCAGACTGAGAAGCTACGTAGTATGAATAGTTAAAAAGCCATTTCAGGTGTGAAATATTATGAAAAACTAGTTCTTAAATTTCAACAGTTTTACTACAAAGAGAGGTTAAACCTAGTACAAAATAACTATTCAATAACAATTTGTCGTAGTTACAAAGTTCACCATCTATGTACCTCTTTTGTTTCTAAGATTTCACTTTCAAATATCTCAACCTGAAAAGATAAAGAATTGTGGTAAAAACGGATATAATATACTAGAAACAATTTACTTATTAAATTTATCACCGGATTTACTTGCAATAACTCAACACGGGTATTTCAAATCTACATTTCATATTTTAGCTATTCTGTGTTATTTTTTTACTACTCATCTTTCAGCATGCATTTTACACTTTCCATCCAGAGATGAATAACAATGACAGACAGAATTTTCAAAAAAATATAATATTTTTACAACTAATCTTAATGGTGTTTCAAAATATTGTCCATACCTTAGTGTTTCAATATATGTTCTCATATCCATACACTACTATGCTGCAGGATTTGAGAGGATGGACAGTTGATTCCACTACACCTTTAAAGTAGAGTTTTTATGTGAGAATTTAATGATGTTATCGTCAAAATTTGTGGCGAAAATCTCATGAAAGGCTTAACTGAAGTTCATTTTAGTCCAGTTCTCTGGATAACACCAGCATTGGATCCATGCCAATTAGGTTAAAATCAAAGATATTGATCAAACCAATTAGAACCAATGGATTTAATTCACAAGTAATAGGAATTATACTCTAGCAGCTATAAAAGCAGTTTACATAATATTAACGTAAATTTAAGTCCAAAAATTGTCTTTAATTGACAACTTTTATTGGAATCCAGTAAAGTAATTACTTATGTCCCATCAATCCTAACAGAAAATATAAAATCCGGAAGTTCCAGTTGAAAGCTTTTTCTAATGAGGCATGTGGTCATGAAACATAAGAATGATATGATCGAATGTGCTTTATTTGCTTAACTTTTAGTGTCCTTTTTAGCGAGTGCCAGCTTCATCTTCCCCAGAATGCGTTAAGTTACAAAACTTACTAAAGCAGTGATTGGTTTACACATCATATTAACTACAAATGGATGCCGCTTCCGGTGGCAAAGTGCTCTCAGCTATTTGCCCAAGCGAAATCGTAGGAAAACAATAGATAACGTTTTGTAAGTAGAACATCTGAATTATACTCATTAAATTTCTTTATATAACGAACCTAATAAAAAAAACTGATTTTTATGAAAAAAAGTTGAACTTTTCAAGTTGTACACGCAACATCGCGTTTAAGGGAACACTGAGAATTTGAGTACTCAAACTTGCTACGTTAACATAGAGCAGAAAAAGACCATTTACTCGCTGTGTTTTAGATTAACAACCGTTGGAGAACCCGTTGTGTGACTCCGTGTATGAACGTGCATATATAAGGTGAATGTGCTATTTCAAGTACCTCATCGTCACTAAGGGGTAGTATATGATTAAAGACTAAAAAAACGGTAACAAAAACATTAATAAATTATTTAGCAGAGGGTAATTGCGTTATTTATGTTGTTTTTTTTATATGCAGAAGACTCTTTGAAGTAACCTTTATCATTTTTAGAATACATATGACACTGCAGTTAACCAAGTGTGGACCGATCATGATGGGAGTCGTATAGTTGGATTGGCTATTAAGAGGCTGAACAGAGTAGTCCCCCGGTGGGATAGCGGTAAGTCTACGGACTTACGGCACTATAAACTGGGTCTCGATTCCCCGCTGTGGACTCAGTAGATGGCCCAAGTGTGGCTTTGCTCTAAAAAACAAACAAGCAAACTTATCCTAGCTGTATTTCAATGTTTCAAGGTTTATTGTCCTCCGGTAGGACAGTAGTAAGTCTATCGACTTACGACGCTAAAATCCGGGGCTCGATTCCACGCAGTGTACACAAACAAACAATCTGAAGACTAGTATATAGTACTGTATACAAATACGATATATTTTCTCCCCTCCGTTCGTTGCAGTGAAAAAAAGATCCAAATACAAAAATACGAAAAAATACTAATATGTGTTAATATTACTTCAACATTTGTTGTTGTTTTGTTGTTGTTTTTTTTTGCATTTTCAAGTACAAAGCTGCACTACTGTGCCAACCACGGGTATCAAAACCTGGTTTTTAGCGTTGTAAGTTGAACCAGTGGGGAGGGGCTACTTCTAAAATGGAAAACGCTCTTTATTGTGTTTCTAATGGGAAATGAAATATATTGCTCTACAAAAAATATTCTAATATTTCTGTACGGTGAGAACAAAACCTGGGTGAAATATATACCCGGTGGATTAGCGAGTAACGCAAGTAACCTACCCGGTGGATTAGCGAGTAACCAGATGTTTGCACTAAAACATACAATCAAATTGAGCCTGCACAAATAACTACTGAGGGTCCGTTGGTAATTATACTTTATGAAACTTTGTTTGGAAAACAATAAATTAATTAATGAAGTCTACAAAAATCCTTACAACAATTTAGTGAACAAGGGGAAGTTTTTGGTTATGTACCACCAAAGGTTTTGGCCACACTGATTTCAACAGACAAAAATACCTCCAAATCAACATCACAAGAAAGTGTTTGTGCTAAAGCTAAACCACACTGGGCGCCCCCCAGTGGCACAGCGGTATGTCTGCGGACTTACAATGCTAGAATCCGAGTTTCGATACCCGTGGTGGGCAGAGCACAGATAGCCCTTGTGTAGCTTTGTGAATAATCAAAAACAAACAAACAAACTAAAACGATAAAATTCG